GATCTTCTTGCTGTCATGCAAAAGCAATAAACACTCCTGTTTGGAGTGTGTGGTTACAATTGAGATCGTGCAGGGGAGAATGGAGCGTCCAAAAAAATGACTCAGTAAGAGACACATGGAATAAAAACATCAAAGTCTAAAGTGCAAAAAAGAACCTCACTATGTGTTCTTAAAAATGTTTAATTATTTGGAATAAATAGACTATATATTTAATCTAATATTTATGGCTTTTAACCAACTGACTACTTTTATTTGGTGTTATGTAATGATCATTTTTCCACTTTCATCGGGATTGTCTCGTAATGGTAACAGTTTCCCTCTTGGGGTCAATAAAGTAATTTCTGATTCTGAATCAGCGAAAAAAAATTACGTTTATTTTGTTGTAGCTAACAGTTTACGAAGGAGGCAGTGTTTCAATTTGTAATCCAATTGTTACTTATTTAGGATTTTCGCCTCATTCTTCTTTAAGTATACTCTCTTCATCGACAGTTATATTTAGCCAATCCTCTTAGACTACAACCTTTCCACAGGCAAACCGTTGGACTCAAGCTTTTCCTCAAACCTAGTCCAACCCTGTTATTTTTTTTTCAAGTGGCCGTATATCTTTTGCTGCTTAGAGTCCAAAAAAAAGAAGAAAAAAAAAAAGACGTCGGAAAAGCGCTATCCAGATCAGGCATTTCCACCTTTTAAAGCGCTGTTATTGAACATCGTACCCCTCACATGCATCGTAGGGAGAGAAATCACATTTCAAAAATCCTAATTCCTCCCAGCAGTGAATATAATTTCACACTCAGCGGTAAATGTAGTCAAGATATTAGGTTTAGATAGGTGGGAGCCAGACAACCGCTGCTGTCGTTTTCCTCTGCTGCTGCGAGTTATCCACTTGTCTTTAACCCTGTCAAGTGAGATGAAAGAGGACTTTTAACCCGGTATGTGTAATAGAAGAGGAAACGACTGTGTGTCGGAAAATGACTCGCCTGTTTGCCTGTTATCCCGAAAGACAAGAGGCATATTTCCTCCTAATGTGTTTTCATCCATACACGCACGGAAAATTATTAAACTATTATCTTTTTTTTTTTTATTCAGGTGTCTATGACATTTAATGTTCTTAATGTATATGTGAAAATAGCCTTTTTTAATTAGGATTTTTCATTTATTCCCTTAATAAGTATGTTAAATGTATGAAATTTAGACTAAATTAAAGAGATTTTAAATATTGCACTACAGCTTTGCCACATTTCCACATTCATATCTGATGTCGTCGGTACAGAAACTTTGTCATGGAAAAAAAAAAAAAAAAAAAGTTGACAAAAATGCTTCTGGGATGCATGGAGTTAAAAAAAAGTTAAACTTTAACAATATAAAAAGAAATTCTTGCAAAGAAAGGAACTTAAAAGGTCTCTGTAGCTAAAAGCATTATCTGTTTGGTGTTACAGCTCGGTTGCATCATGCCTCTCAGAACAAAACTCCGCACTCACATCTTTGCTGACAATGAACACTGAAGTTGGCAGAAATTTGCTGTGAAACGAGACAAAAGTGTGCAGTTGGTGAAAAAAAAAAGTGAGGCAACCTCCGCGCCTCAGGCTTTTGTCAGTGGGCATTTCTTTTCAATGACCTGTCATGCACCGAGTGAGAGCAATGATACGGCTTAGATATGTTTCAGCCGGTGTCAGACGTGTGCAAGATTCTCTTTTAATGTGCAGCTGTTACTGGCTTGAATCACTGCCACGGCCACTCGCTCCCATTGTTTCTGAGCCGCTTGATACCCTGACAGAGACGCCGAGTCTTTAATGTCATGACCCGTTGCCATGTTTCACAGTCTGAATGGAAATCCAGGAATAGGCGAACGTACGGTCTACGCAGGGTTCAGATTTGGGCATATCGATCAGCTCCCGTGCCCCCCCCCCACCGCCGACCCTTCCTTGTCCTTTTTAAGTGGGTCAATAATTTATGCTAGGAATAGGTTGAGTAAAAGTTTGCCAAGGATTTGCAGTAATTATCTCATCCTTCTATAGCTGGGCACAGCATGAGGCCTTGGTAAATTACCCATCTCTCTCCCTAACTCCTGGATGGTTTATGGCCGTGCATTATGCATAACTGTGCTGGAGTGCCTTAAACATCCCCCAAGTGGATTGAAATAAAGTTGACGCTGCTCTTTGTTTGCAACTCAAGATAGTCTTTATTTGGCAGTGCTGAATCGGAGATTGCTGTGAAGGCGTGTGTCTTAATTATTTTGGAGACCCTCCACCCCAACTCCCTTCCCCAAAATGGTTTGTGAACACCTGGAGTGTTTTTAGTGGGATGTTGAGCTCCAGATGGGTGGACGCTCTGGCAATCCACAGGGAAATGCTGGTTACATTACAGTGGAGAGTCTTGTCACACCAACGTTAAATTTATAAAAGAGTAGAGAGGAAAAGAGCTGCACTAGATTTCTTTTGGATGCGTGTGCGAAGTCAGGCATTGGCTTAAATGTAATATAAATCACGTTTCGTAAATTGATCTTGTGTGTTGTTTTTTTTTTTTTATAAACGTTAAAAGTGAAGCTGAGTTTGTAGATCTTCCTGAAAATTATCACTTTATTGTTTTAAAGGGAAATATTACTTATGAAGTCTGAATAACAAATATTTAAAATAAAATATATAAATATAGTGAAGATGCCTGGTTAGAATGAGGGGTTTGCTTTGATGTAAGGTTAATAAAAAAAGTCTTTTTTCATGAAAACAACAAAGCTATTTCTCTACATAGTCACGATTTCAGACGTAACACTCCTGTAAGCGGTGTTTCCATCAGAGGAACTCTTGTTAGTAGAATTCCGAGGGAGGTTTTTCCTGTCAGGTCGCAGTCTACTTCCTTTTCTTGGCCAAAGTCTTAAATTAGTTAATTAGTTAAAGTTAATTTTAAATCTTCTTGAAGTTGTAGGAAAAGAAAAAAAACAAACATAGTAGCCGGATGAAAATCTATAAGAAAGCTACAATACAGTTTGGTTAAAAATTTAAATATCACCTGAAAATCTATAAGAAAGCTACAATACATTTTTAAGTTTGGTTAAAAATTTAGATATCACCTGATTTTTAATGTTTTTTTTTTTTGAAAAGTTGAAAAGCTGATCAAATAAACTAACGCAGATCAACGTTTAACAAAACTAGTCAAAGGTGTTGGAGATGCCAGCGAGATGTGTCTTGACATGTTAACATCAGACAACTTTGAAAAATCATACCATCTCTGTTACATTTTTGACTAACACTCACAAACGTGACGTGATTTTTTTTAAATGGAAAAAAAGTCAATTTAAATTAAAATATGAATTTACAGCAGTTTACAGGTTAAATATATTTTTGAACGCAAACACCTAATCAACATCCACATCCAGTACGAGTAACTAATGTTTTTATTTGTATCAAAACATTCTGTAACAACAGTCCACATTCTGTTAACTCATAAAATAACAATGCTGTTGTTTTTATTAGGTGTTATTACAAATGCTATTCCCTGGTGAAAGGAACCAGAAGTTTCAAAGACAAGGAATCAGCACAAAGAGAGTTTCCTGGGTGAGACACGGACACTCAACAGACTGATCCACAACTCCTGAACTGAATGCAGCTTTTAAACACAATCATGCATCTCTTTAACCAACCATCCAAGGCTGACTGAGTAAAAACTAAGTAAACTCAGGTGCGGTCTAAGATAAAAACAGAGTTACACACACATCAGCTCCTCATTGACGCCCAAACGCCTGCAGTTCAATTTTCAGTAAATATAGAGACGCAGAACTAACAGACTTCATAGTAAAAACTTTATCTTTCCTGACATCGACAAAAAATGCAACACTCATTTTTCAAATGCAATTAATACAATTTATTAGTATTACAATAAAATTAACCTAATCTATTAGAATAGTTGTCCAGTGTTTTTTATATATATTTTTTTATTTTTACTAGAAAACAAAAGAAAACACTCAGCTTAGCGAGGGTCCAGTTCACTTACAGGTTCAATAATAACAGTTTTAAACAATTTTAGAGAAAGGATCAAGTTCAACAACACGCCAGGTCTCGACACGACACTAATGTTTATGATGACGCCGGCTGTAATTCAACAAGCTCAACAGGTTCTACAAAGAAGACAGACTGTTCACAATGAGCCGAAACTACCGTATGTTAACGAGCTGACGAATGTAAAGAGCACATTTCAAATCTTCAAGCTGTCACACATTTTAAAAAAACAAATGTAAAGAGCACATTTCAAATCTTCAAACTGTCACACATTTAAAAAAACAAACAAAAAGCAACTATACTAACCTAATCACCTAATAAAGCTTTTCATGTTCAACAAACCCGAGGTCGACTCACTGTAGCTTTCTCCATGTACGAAGTCAGAATACCTGCCAGTCACAGGTATTTAAAATTATTAAAACAAAAATAAAAATAAATGAATATGAATAAGTCTACCAGCTCGGATGCAGTTGTCATTGTCTGCGCCGTTTATCTAGTGTAAGTGTGAAGGAGTGTTTAGTGCGACTACAGCAGACGAACCCATATATCGCTTCAGTCATAGAATATAAATGAGTTCTGAGAATTTCGGGGGCAGGGTTTAAAGAGTGGGTGACGTCGCATACTCGACGTCCTGTGACTGTGGACGCAACCAAAAGATCAAGGGGTGTTCGGTTCGTCGTAAAACATATACTACCTTGTTTTATACGTTTATATAAATGTGTATTTTTGTAAAAACGACACTTAGACAATGAACCAGCTATTAAAACGGCTACGACACCATCACTTTAGAAAACCAGCTTTAAATGAACACGGTTTTTCCCTGAACCGGACACGGTGACACTCCCCCCATGTCAGTGGAAAAATGGTACGGTCCCGGGCTCAAATTCCGAGAATTGAGCTGGTCTGATTCTTAGAACTGGGGTTCTTAGAAGTGGTGATGCAAGAAGTTTCTAGGAAAGCGCTACCAGGTGATTTTTTTAAAAATTCCTTTTTTGTACTTTAATTAATTTGGCGCGAAGTTTTTGCCTGCTTTTTTATTGCTGGTTTTTATAAAAGAGGCCTTTAAAATATCTATTCGTACTGGTGGAGTGCTTGTGAAGCTCTGACTGAGTGTGTGTGAAAGTCAGTGTGTGTGAGCTGTCAGCAGCGGCAGCGGCAGCAGCGGCAGCGCTGCTCTCTTGACAGTTCAGCCTGAGCTCAGCGGCTGAGCTGCTGTTCACGCCGTGTCGTCCTGGAAGCTCCAGGCTTTGACACACTGTGACACAGCCTTGTTGTGACTCTAAAAACGTCGGGGCGATGTACATTACATAGATATGAGGCACGAAGTGAAAGTTCTGGCCTCACTAAAGATGATTGTATGTCCATGTGTCAACACGCTGCGCGCTCGATAAGAGCGGCGGCCGCGCTGTCAGACGCAGCTCGGGCAGCGTGTTAGTCAAGTTCAGGTCGTTCTGCGTAAATGGAGCTCAAAGACGGAGAAAGAAGTCCCTCAGTTCTAGCGGAAACGTTGTTGTTGTTGTTGTTTTTCCTGTGTTCTTGTTTCTTCTGCGGTAAAAGAGAATAGACACTATGCATTAAGTTTCTCCCTCGTTAACTACACCAACCCGTGTGTTTTACTTATAAATGCGCCACATTTACCAGGTTTAGAAAGCGTCAATAAACGTCGTATTTTTGTTCGTATTATGTTTTTCAGGAAATATTCTTTATTATGTTTAATTTAAATGTTGGAAACAACAGATCAAGTCCAGCTGTTAGAAACGTGTGCGCTGTATTTAATAGTTTACCCCCCAAAAAGATTGACTCACGTTGAGTTATTTTGGGTACTTTTTTATTTGTTGCTTTTTACTTGGGTTATTTATCACCTTTCAGTCTGTGGATGTCTGCGTCTCCCGACGACTTTTATTATCGGACGGTCCGGTTACAGACTTTAGTGCTGGTGCAAGGGCAAACGTTTTTTTATATATATAAAAAATGTATTCATGTATTTTGTTGTTGTTGTTTTTGTTTCGTTTGTTTACTCAAAGGGCACGGAGTAAATGCCTTGTGACATGTTGGGGGATAAAAGTGTAAGAAGAATGCTGTTGCTGCTGCCGCTGCTGTTGCAAAGTATTTTTCACTGGAAGCAAATCAGGGAAAAAGTTACTGTGCTACCTTCCCCGCCCAACAGGCTAATGCAGGTTAAAACTGATGTGATACTTTTTTTTCTTATAAAGTTTTATTTATTTTAAAAAAAAGTAATAATAGAGTCCGAGTAAAGATTATTTTTATTAGTGTATGGAGGCGTTCAGAGTTCGTTCTTATTCTCAAATTACGCAATAATCCAATCGGTCTTCAAAATGTAATTGTATAATATTTTTCGTATGTGACAAATTGTTAGAAAGTACCTTGGATGTTATTACATACTCTGGTCGGGTTTTCTGAGTATTATCTTACCTACCAAAAGTAAATAAAGTATTCACGGTTTTACAGGTCAACCCGCCACCACCTATAAAAAGACTTAAAAAGAATTTCAAGATAGCCGCGTAAAGCTCCAAGACATTATTTACTAATAAATGGCGCCATCTAGTGGGTAAGCAACTAAAGTTTTGGTTTGCTGTGGCCTTTGGACACTCGATGGCACCTTTCTGGACCACTTTTTCTTTACAGATCACCTGCCGCACACACGAGACTTATTTACAGCACACCAATTCATGCTTTTGATTTAACAGTCTCTGTTTCTGTTTGCAGAACTCGACAATATGGCTTGTGCAGCAGACAGCTGCATACAGTTTACGCGCCATGCAAGTGATGTTCTGTTCAACCTGAATCGGCTGCGAAGCAGAGACATTCTCACGGACGTCACTATTCTGGTGAACAGGCAGCAGTTCCGTGCACACAAGACAGTGCTCATGGCATGCAGGTGTGTATTTTTTTTAAGATAATTAAAAACAGTGGTCTTTCTTAATGTGATTATTGTTTTCATTCTCTGTGTGATTTAATTTTTTCCCTCTTGCTTTATTGTAGTGGGTTGTTCTACACCATCTTTACTGACTCCCACAAGTGCAACCTTAATGCAATCAGTCTGGATCCAAAGGTAGACCCCGAGGGCTTTGCCATCCTTCTGGAGTTTATGTACACCTCTCGACTTACCCTCAAGGAAAGTCTGATCATTTCTATCATGAACTCGGCCATCTACCTGCAGATGGACCATGTTGTGGACACCTGCCACAGATTCATCAAATCCAGGTCAGTAGAACCATCATAAGGAAATCTTTGTCCGGCTTTCATTCACCCCAGTGTGTTTAAAGTTACCCCTCTCCTTCACAGTGATCCAGCTGCCAAGCTGCCCAGAGATGAATTTTTGGTCAGTCCCTTGGTTTTACCTCAGGATGTCCATGGGTATCGCCCCCATGAAGTTGTTGACAGTTTGCACAGCCGCATACCTCCCTTCAGGGATGGAAGGCCATACAGCTCAAACATCTTCAACAGCATCAGCAACCCCAGCAACTACCCCATCTACGGACAGTTTCCCATGCCGGGATTTACTTTCCCTTTCTGCAAGATCACTGATGCTAAAAACCCTTTCGTTGACTTCTCTAAGAACACCATCCCCCCGAAGCACTGCACTCCACACGACGGTGCCAACCCTATCAAGGCGGAATACACCAGGGCAGTTGGCACAATCTCCTCCAGCATCATTCACTCCACCACCTACGCCTCTAGGGATGTTGGGAGAGACAACGAGTTGAGGAAGGATAGCCACGAGGGGATCGGCCAGTCGATGGGTCTCGGCACGAGAAAGCGCATGTTTCCAATGTTTAATCTGGAGCCCCAGAAAGTTCCAAGGAATGAGCACACTCCTCAAGGTGAGGAAGACCTGATCCATCAGCACTACCCACTGGGAACCTTATCAGCCGGACGCAAGAGCCTCATGAGCAGCCCTCAGAGCCCGTTCAAATCAGACTGCCAGCCTAACTCCCCGACCGAGTCCAGCAGCAGCAAGAATGCTGGCCTCACCCAAACTGCTGGAGTGCAATCTCCACAAGGTACGCAGGACCCTAAAGCACGCAACTGGAAGAAATACAAGTTTATTGTTCTGAATCAAAGCGCCAAGGAAGATGAGGTGGCTCTGAGGGATACTGAGCTCCACTCCCCGCAACGCCACGGTTTGCAACCCTACCTCCACCCCAGTGACTCGGAAAACCTGGACCCACAAACCACGAGCAAGAGCAGTGAACACACTGAAGATCTGCCTGTGCCCCAGGCAAGTCGTCTGAATAATATCATCAACAGGTCAGTGCTCTTCATTTATATTTCCCAATTCATAAATGCATGACTATTTGTTCTAATGCCTAATGCTTAATGTGAATATTGAACTAGTGTGCTAGGAAAAATGTCAAGTTAAATTTAAACAATTTGTTTTTATCCAAAAGTTGACCTCTGGTCCCAACACTTGGCTCAAGGCTCTGTTTCCTATCAATTGAACTGTTAATTAGATAAAAGCAACTTCATCTGACCTGTTCTTGTGTGGTTAGTGCACGCGAGGGGTCACGGAGGAGCAACGACATCCAGCCTCCGCACTACCTGAGCCGCCTCAGTTGCTCATCCTGTGGCTGCCAGTCCCCACAGCACTCGGACGTCTGTCCCTCCAGGTCCAGGCTGGCAGAAGACATGGCAGAACTACATTCAGAATACTCAGACTCTAGCTGTGGTAAGACTATATCATGCAAAATACAATCTATTTTTTTTTTATGGAAAACAATGGGCAACATTTAAAAAAAATATTTTTTCCCTTCACAGAAAATGGTACTTTCTTTTGTCACGAGTGCGACTCTAAGTTTGCTGACGACGACGCGCTAAAACAACACATGCTTCAAGTGCACAGCGACAAGCCATACAAGTGTGACCGCTGCCAGGCAGCTTTCCGTTATAAGGGCAACCTTGCCAGCCACAAGACTGTCCACACAGGTAAGGAGAAAAAAAAATAAAAATGTACTAATTTCAAAGGAATTACGTCAGTTGTTTTGGGAAATATTCATGTTTGTTTGTTTTTTTTTCTTTAAGGAGAGAAGCCGTACCGATGTAATATTTGTGGTGCTCAGTTTAACAGACCAGCCAACCTCAAAACTCACACTCGCATCCACTCAGGAGAGAAGCCATACAAGTGTGAGACGTGTGGAGCTCGTTTTGTACAGTTATTGACCTCTCCTCGCCGGGATGATCTCGTTAAGATTTCTATTCTTATTTCATTATAAAGTACAACTACTTCTTAGTGTTATTCAAGTATATTTTCCTGCAATAATTAATTGAAGAATCAACTAGTTGTTAAAGTTTGGGTTTTTTTTCTTTTTGGTTGCAGGTAGCTCATCTCCGTGCCCATGTGTTGATCCACACGGGTGAGAAGCCATATCCGTGTGAGATTTGCGGAACGCGCTTTCGCCACCTGCAGACGTTGAAGAGCCATCTGCGTATACACACAGGAGAAAAGCCCTACCATGTAGGTCCATTCACTTTGTTCACTGTTTTAAAGTCCTACTGCACTGTCAGATGGATTAACCCCAAATTATCATCACTCCAATAAATACATGCAACTAAGCACCGCATCTTCACCTGATGAATTGCTCACAGCCAATCAGAGCGCAGGTGACTTGTCCTTTAACATTTAAACTACACCCCTGTAAAAAAAAACAACAAAAAATACTCCAATTTCCTACAGTACAACCACAAATCTCGCCATAATTTATCTTGGGCATCTTTGTAAACAACTTTAAACTTTAAATCTCGGGTGAACTGTCCGGGGTGTACACGACCCCTGGCCATGACCTCCTGACCAGTACTCTTTATTTACTCAGTTTTTCTAAAAGTATTTCATGCGTCAAATAATTTCCCAAAAATTGAGGTGACCTTGAGTCTCCACAAAGTGTGCTAAACATCATCTAACATTAAAAGCAAGACAAAAAAACCTGAATATTTTCAACACCAAAGTCATTTCCTCCTACTACATTTGATGTATTCCTTTTTTTTCCCCCCAGTGTGAGAAATGCAATCTGCACTTCCGCCACAAGAGCCAGCTGCGGCTGCATCTACGACAGAAGCACGGCGCCATCACCAACACAAAGATCCAGTACCGCTTGTCCACAGCCGACGTGTCCGTCGATGTGACCAAGTCTTGCTAGGCCAGAAGAAGGGAACAGTTCTAAAGGAAACATTTCTGACCTTGGCAATTATAGACGCTGACCTGTACAATCATCAAAAATGTAGTGCCACACTGTGTTTATTAGATGGGAAAAGAAAAAACAAATTGGCTGTATTTGCCATTCTACACGGGTTTTCTCTATATGTGAACGTGGAGCCAATTATGGCGTCTTAGTCACTTTATATAGATACAATATATATATATATGAATATATATTAATGTAAGTGGGGAATGTTTCGCATAAAAAGCTTTATTTTGACAAAAAAATTAAGATGGAATGTAACCAATATGTTTTTTTGAGAATACAGTATTTTGTATCAGAGAACTTACTTTTCTGAAAGTACTGAACATTTTGATGAACAGGTGGTACTTATATTTTAGGATAACGCAATTTGCGGCTGTGCGACGCTGTACATACGGTACATTTGATTTGGATGTATATACATGTTAAACCAAGTTAAGCTGCCATGTTTGTACAAAATGAAGAGAAAAAAAAAGGTCAGGACAACGCTGTGTGCGAAGGGATTCCAAGACCTTTTCACACCGCTGCTGTCTGTCCTGATGACAATATGCATGAGTTACAAGTTTTTTGTTGTATAAAGAACAGGTGCAACTGCAAAAATATCGTGACATATATTGTATAATTAAATCTGTGGGTTTACTCTGCGGGCAGAGGCAATCGTAACTGTTGAAATTAGTTTTCAAGGTATTGCTTTGTTACGACCAAAAAAAAAAACAAAAAACGTTGCTTCGAAATGCATTTGTATATATGTAGCAAATGTTTCGGGTTTTTTTTATGTTGTGAAGGTTTACAGTTTTGGTCTTTGTTCCTGTTGCTACAGTATTTGTTGTGTTCTCGTACGGTTCTTCTTTGTACATACACTGTGTATTCAATGTGCCTTTCTCGATGGTGACTGAATTCCTCTCCATTCAGCCCAGCTATACTAAGGTACAACTCAAGGACACCATTCGTCCTAATTTCTTGGGTGAGCGTGACGCTGCGTGTGTGCGTGTATATATTTTTAAATGCTCGTCACCAACTACAAACATGCAAATGAATCGTTGTACATCTTCAGGACTTGCATTGGAATATGTTTTGTTTTTTAAAAACTTCATTCAATTTATTGTACAATGTTATAGATGTATGAAAGTAATAATAAAGGTATTGTATTTCTATGTATTAACTCGACAACGCGGCTCCGTGTCTCTATGTTAGGGGTCATTCCCAAATTTTGGCCCAGTATTGCTGGACATCTTTAGAGCTGGAAGGGATTTTGAATAATTTAGAAAGAGATAAATTAAAGCGATAAAAAACGACTTCCATTCCCAGCTTTCTAAAGTTTTCTAAACTTATAGACTTTCGTCCTACTACTTGGTCTCCAGGAGACCTAGATTTGGGCTGAAAGGAAGTAAATTTAACACCACGGTTAGTCAGCACTTGTTGAAGCACTCCAATTAAATTAGCTAACAATAGAGAATGTATTAGCAAATCAATATAATAGAAACATGTGCAGCCTTATCTTATTATTGCTGTAGCCCTATTGTACAAAAATGTAATGTTACAGTTTAGGGGATTACAGAATATAATGAAGATTGGTATATTTTATATAATAATAATAACAATAATAATATGCAGTCCTAGTAAGATGATCTTAAACAAACTTTTTAATTAACTTAATATTAAATTAAAATTTTACAAATACCAATAAATCCTCTGAGCAGGAGATGCTTAAGGTTAAAATAGTGAAAACTATTCCTAAAAGAAATAAATATGCACTAAAAGTTTGAATAACTAAACATATAACAATGCAAAATGTAATAAACACACGTTCCAATCATTGGGTACTGAAGTGGCGCCCATTAAAGCAGCATTTCTTGTGGAAATCGCTGGACATACTGTATTTTTCTAGTGGCGGTCATTGTCTGTGTATGTATATGAGAATTGCAATGTTACTCGTTGCTGCCACGTAGCGGTTATAGAGCTCCTTGGCAATCACACGACGAGCAATTTAACCAGCAAAACGGAAAATTTAGTGATAAATAAAGACACGACGTCGTGCTGTTCATGTTCTTTTGCGCGTTTTGGTTATACAGTATATCTATTCAACAGAAACTGTGACGTAAACCGACAGCGTTAGCCTTGCTAAGATAATTGAGTTTGTTAGCTCTCATTAGCATCAAGGCTCTTAATGGATTTAGCCATAAACCATTAGGCAGTCCTCTGTGGGGGAAACGAGGGGAAATGAGAGTAGAAGAACGAACATATACTAATGTACAAATGGTAATTAAGTCTAAATTCTTATAATACAGAAACTGACAGCTGCTTGACACCACAGCTCCTTCGTTTTTAAAAAACTGTTCAATTATAATTACAGATGTCATGTACTGTACTCGTTTCTAACTAGCATCAAGGTAGACATTAAAGCTGCTTTTGTCTATTTATCACTGCTGTCAGCAAGAAGAAATTGTTAAAGGCATTTGACAGCCTGGACATGTCTGTCTGTTTATTTATCCATCTCTCGTCCCTTAAAACAGGGATTATCCACAGTTTTTTGGCCTCTGAGATAGTATTCAAATGACCAGGCTAAAGTGATGTACCAATATTGAAAACTTTAGATTTACTCATATACACTGAACCTACTTCACATATACTTCATATATATCTCCATCAAAACTGACTACTTATCTCTGGCTCCTACCAAAGTAGCAAGAAACTCGGGTGCCATGACAGATGACCTTTCCAGAACATGTTACCCAACCCAACAGGCCAGTCAGTTCCTGGTACAGACCATGGTTATCTCCCGCCTCGACTACTGCAACGCCCTTCTAACAGGCCCTTCGAATGCTATGAAATTAGATTTTTTTTTGGTATTAAATATAAAAATGTATAATATAAATATATAATATAAAATGAAGCACCTTGGGAGATGAGTACATAAAAATAACTTAATTTGTCTTTAAAAAAAAAAAAAAAAAAAAAAAAGATTTTCATGTTGTAGACAATAAAAGGTGAAATCAAACATTACCGGTCCTCCTGTTGTTCAATTTATTTTCAAAAGAAAATGGTACACTGCTCTTAGTAATTACAATTAATTACAATTACTGCGAATGGGGACAACAAACAGTACTGCTTAAATACAAAAAACTGCACCAAGTCTAGGAAGTACAATTACCTGGGAAAAAACAGAAACAAGACAACAACAAAAAAGCCCCCGACAAACTAGTCATGACCATACAACTCTAACCCAAAGTCCCACCCTGGATGTTGCCCCATGCTGCAGCTGTCACTGTTTCTGCTGCATTGCTTCTTTACGTGCAGCATCCTGAAGTAGTTGTGTGTCCACTTCATCTGCGGGGAGCTGAACGTACCGCACCACTGATCCACGGATGAAGCAGTTTTTCACAGACAGCTGCAGCCAAAATGGAGACACATCAGAACAGAGCTTTGGACAGAGTGTATTTGTGAGGCACCTTCTTACTGTTTTACTGCAAACAGTTACAAAAACGGACATTTAAGGAAACTTCTCGCCAAGTCTGAACTCACATGCTGTACATCAGTACCTGAGTCACACACCGACGCTAACACGGTGCTATCATCCTAATCTATGACATAAAAACATCAGGAGAGTCTCACTAATGCCTGGGAGCCATAATGAAGGGCAAAAAGTTGCCACAAATGTAAACAAAGTTGCCGTCAACGTAGAGCGTCGAGCTTTAACGCCGTATGTCGGAATGATCGAACAAGACTTTTTTTATTTAATTTATAGGAGATGGCAACGTGACCGCGAAACGCTGAAAAGTCACACAAATGATATAAAATAGATTATGAAACTGCTAATCTGTCAGGGCCTCAGGATGTCATTTAATAGCAAGGTGTTTCTAAGAAGAGCCGGGTGGCTACACCAACCTTTGAAACCCTGAACTGAGAAATAAAGAGACTCCATCCTTTACAGAGCATGTCTAAAAGGTTTGTTATTAAGAGTTCTATAATCTTTGATGAAAAATATATAAATAAAGTAATTAAAAAAAAGAAATCACACACACAGTATGAAGGCGTAAATAGGCACCAGCCACAGGAAGTAATTACATTTTCACATTTCTCTCTACTCTAACACATTAGGAATCATCTTGACACGTCAGTGTTGGTTGGTTATGTAGAGACTGAGTAAACAAAAACTGCCTATCTAGGTTTGATGCCACTACGAAAAATATTTGTTTTATTTAACTAGATACTTGAGATGTAATCATTTAAAAATCTTCAATTACTTACTTTACAATGTTAATGTTAAAATTTGTCAAGAAGAACAAAAGTGGGTTTTTTTTTTTTTTTATACCCGGACTTTGGGACCCCATCTAAAACGGTCTGAGACATGTCAAAAAAGAGAGAGAAAAAAAAACTCACCATGTGCGGATATTTCTCTGGGTCTGTGACACTGATGTCTGTCAGCTTGATGTTTAGGTACTGAAGCACAACATAAACAACCAAGAATGTTAGAAAATCAATTAATTAATTAAAAATGGACATTGATTCAAACTGAATTAGCTTAAATTTATGTTACATTAAAGCAGGGGTGCCCAAACTGTTCCACGAAGGGCCGCTGTGGCTGCAGGTGTTTGTTCCAATCAAGCAGTAGCACACCTGAGTTGACAGGTTTAATCAACTGGTCTCAGTCTTCAGACAGCTGATTGGTCAAACTATGTGCTCTTGATTGGTTGGAACAAAAAGCTGCAGCCACACGGGCCTTTGAGGAATAGTTTGGGCATGCCTGCATTGAAAACAAATGATTTTCACCTGGTCAACAGAGTGAAGTGTTCCACAGATACTGAAAAAAAGAATAATTGTTAATGGAATAAACTCACATTTACCAATAACACAAACAACAACCCCCCCCCCCATCAAAACACTGATGTAATTCTGATAAAACAATAGCTTGTAATTAACACAATAACAACCTTCAGCAAAAACATAAAGGAGTTTATGTATAGTGTATAAAATAACAGAATTGCCTTAGTATGTTAGGATTAATGCTATAACACCTTTAATATTATTTTTTCAATTTCTTTTGTGCTACTCTGCTTTCAATTTGTAACAAACTTTCTACTGAATATTAAGTTACTGATTTCCAACTCTTTTTAAAAACAAATTAATTGTATTTTATGCTGTATTTACTAGAAATAAAGCCACGACAATATTCCCTATTACACGGAATTTCGAGTGCCAAATTGCCCAATTGTGTGCAATACTACCACGCTGCTTGAATCCAACCATAAATAAAAAATAAAAATAAATTTAACAAAGTACTTTTCTTAACCCAATTAGTGCTCTGTAGTTCAAATGTTTGTCACAAAGTGAATTAACCTATATTCTCTATCTACTATTTTATAAATATGATATATTACTGATTGGTAATGTTTAGGGACGCTAATGAAACTACCGGACAACGAGATACACGCTGCATGTGACAACTTAATAAGTTAAAATAAAGGAAACCGATATCTACAGATATCCGTCATAATGCTAGACCTACCTGAGGTCATTTTTGAGCTCCACCACCACGTCCTTGCCGACTAGTGATTTGAAAAACGAGTAGAAAAGCTGAAAACAAACAACGTATTTACAACGTTACCGTTAGCATCAATCAGATGTCCATTCAACACTGTTACAACAGAATCCAGTACGTTAGCACCGACGGACCTAACACAGTAAATACGTCAGTGTATCTCAAACAGTTAAAACACAGTATTACGCACAGAATGTATGTAAAATGCAATTACACATTTCATTTATTCAGTATATTCGTTACCATTTTTCCTCGCGCTTTTCTTGTGGATGATGTCTCGTATTGATTATGTCACCACTTCGTTGTATTTCTGCGACAGGCAAGCAGCACAAACCAACGAGCTCCACACGGGGGAGCAAAAGATGCGTATAATAATAATAAGTTTGCGGGTGTGACTGTTGAAGTGCATTTTTATTTGTATATTGTTGAGAAATAAAAAAAATAAAAAAGAACACTACTCAATTATATTACTCTAATGTTCACGCCTTCACGATTTTATCGGTTCAAATGTGTCAAGTGTTTATTTAAAAGGCTAAAGAGAAGAGAAAAGGCGAGCTGGGTATGTTATCTTCATCCAACTTATGGTAAGAAATGACCAATTAGCATTTAAGCTACTGTATATAAAAATAAAACTCCACAAGGTCAATAAAAACGGGAATTCGGTTTCAATATTTACATTTATTGAGAGCATTTGTTTAACTTTGAGGAAAACATAAATGCTATTTTAAGATAGTATAGTAAGGTATAGTGTAAAACTCACATCAAATATAGAATAATTATTTTATTGGGGGTTTTTTTTCTACATTTCTATGCACATCAGATACAGTAATCACTTTGACCTTTGACCTGTTATATTTACATAACCCTTAGGCTATAGTTCTACCTTCAAAAGCAAATTCTTTGCATATTTTCTTAGATAATAAGTGTGTACTACACACAGGGGCGACAAGACTTACATACATACATAGACAAGTTATACAGTACAATCAGTCACAGCATTGACACAGGTCCCTCATTTCACTTAACACTCCAGCCAATCTTGGGAATTTCGGAATCTCCTGGAGAAAGAGAAGGAGAAGAGGTTCTATTACATTTGTCAGGAGAACATGAGACTTCATGTTATCATTGTAGCTCTTCTCAAACACTTATAAGGCGCCTGAAATAGCGGTAGGCGACATTGCTTATTAAAATGGTAAATTCACAAAAAACGACATTGCTTATTAAAATGGTAAATTCTAATTTACTAAGTTCTTGGTCGATAGTTTTAAATTTTAGTTAGTTGATTAGATCTGTCAGCTAAATTTATTTAATGTGATTTATTTGAAGTGCTATTCTTGCTCAACTATTATGTCTTTCCAATAGCCTCTTCTCTAACTTCTCTAACTGTCTCATGTCCTTATTTGTTTCTCTAGTTACCGGGCAGATTATTTTTCTTTTTTTCTTTTTTTTTAAATCTAACTCATACAGTAATATACATTTTTTAATACATTAATGAGTCATTGTCATTGACGCCCACGTAATTTACAATTGATTTTTGGTTACGTTTTCATCTTTGAAAAAGAAGATCGTTCAACTAACCTTCACTGAAACACAATCAAGCTGCTGTGCGACTCACAGTGCGGTTCGATCCCATTATTCTTGTAAATATTTTTGTGTGTATATATAATTTATAATTGGAATTTACCAGGATATTTCCTTACCATCTTTCTGAGACTGTGATTGGCCAGGCCTTGCAGGGAGTCTGAGTTTATTGGGGAGTTCAGAGTTGTCTCTGTAGTCTCTGGGTTTTAGGGTTTGAGGATCTCCCGGTCGAGATTTAGCTGGTAAAGGAGGCCGGCTGGGTGAAATTCCCCCCTCGGAGCGGGAGGGCACCACAGGTTTCTTGTGCGATGAAGGATGCAAAGTGTTGACCGCTGGTGATTGAGGTTTGTTCTCAGAGCAGGTGAAGGAGCGGTTGCGTGGGGTGGGCAACGGCGGACGCTCGCCGTCTGCTTCTACTGGAGGTTTGCATCCATACATTGATTCTGGGGTGAGGAGGTGGTTCCTCTGCTGGAGGTCCTGGTCCTTGACTTGACCATGGGTTTTACCCATGGCTCCATAGAGAGGGTTGTCGAACATTTCTGACGGACTTTCATCTTCAACCCTACACGGGGGGAGAAAAAAAAGTGTTAGCAGCAACACAGTTTTACTTTGACTTTCCTCTGCTCTTGCTCCTCTTTCATTTGACAAAAAAATGTAAATTTCAAAAGAGTTTCAGGTCACATCTGAAGGACGCACTTACACAGGGTTAGGTTTGACTGAGTGACAGCGTGCTGGGGCATCATAACCACATTTTCCGGCGCCTGGAAGATTCTTTGTCGGCATGCTGTAACTCCAGCCTTTTTCGATCACGTTCTCACTTCTGTAGGACAGTCCCATGTAGCTGGGATTCGAGATATCGTGTCCTGCAGCCGAAGAACTTCTGTCAACGGGGGAGACAGACAGATATTACAACAGCAAGTGCAGCCTGCGACACGGCGAGGTCAAAGTATAACGTTTTCTCACTTGTAGTCACCACCGCCTTTGCCTTTGGAGGCGACGTGGTCATCTCGCTCAACTTTGATGAAATCTGAAATCATAATGAGATAAAAAAAAAAATTGATGATATAAGAATGTCAGCTGGCCTCCTTAAAAAAATCAGGTCTTCAGGTGGTTTTCTTACTGACCGTAAAGCTTTTCAGTGGTTTTGCTCTCGGTGGTTTGTAACTGGATGCCACCTGTCAACGTGCCTGTCTTCTCTCCGTGGTGAGTCAGTATGACCTGAAACTCAGTGTAGGAGAACTGGGCAGCACGCAGGGCGACACAGCCTTCACCTTTCATATATATAAAAAAAACAGGTTTGTTCAAGTGTGGGCGTTTAGAATGCCGACACAGCAGATCCTGGCTTCCAACAGCTGCACTTTGCTCTTGGTGCCAAGCACCAAGAATGAGGACTCTGAAGTCGGTGGTTTGTTTCCACTGTCAGCATTATTGCAGTATTGTCGTGTACAATACTTGTACCTTAAAGATGGATCACAGGTTTAAATACCATTAGGCCTCTTTATGAACATGTTCATTCTCTTAATGTTAGGACTTTACAATAAATGTTTACCTATTTAAACACTGGACTTTTGTATAAATAACCTGAAAACTAAACATAAACTTTGCAACAAAAAAAAGTTTTTTTTTTTTTTGAGTGAACATTTCAGTGTTGGAAATAAAGATTCTATCCATTAAAAAAATGATGTATCTTTTTTATTAAATTAGTTTTACTTTGTTCTTTATTTTGTCAACTATTTTTAAGTAAGTCCTATTGTATATTGTTATTTATTATTGTTATTATTATTATTATTATTATTGTTATTGTTATTATTGTAGCAGCAGACAGCAAAGTCAAACCTCAACTTGAGTCAGTACCTCACAAGTTCTTTACTTTGTTCTTTATTTTGTCAACTATTTTTAAGTAAGTCCTATTGTTTATTGTTATTTATTATTGTTATTGTTATTGTTATTATTGTAGCAGCAGACAGCAAAGTCAAACCTCAACTTGAGTCAGTACTTCACAAGTTCACAATAACACAATAACAAAGATGATTATTTTTTATCATGGTAAAAATCTGACTCATTACCATATGACTCGTCACAGTCTGTTGACTTCACACAGATGAGGATGTGCTGGTCCAGAAGATACTCAGGGTCAGATATAATTGGAGTGAGCTAAAAAATAAATAAATAAAGGGATATAATTGACACATATATTAACATATTGTAAATAAAATCAAATTAAAAAGTAAAATAACAGAGCTGGATCCGCTTTTTTTACCACAACTTGGTTGCCAAACCAGACTTTGATGGACCCGTCTGAATGCTCTGTGTTTTCTCCCTCCAGTGTTTTCACAGTTTCTGTAGACATTCACGGACAAAATAGTTTTACTTCCAAGCGGAACAGGAGCGATGTGTTGAGAAGACAAAACGACCAGACTTACTCTCTAAGAAGCTGGAATGATATTCAATGAAGAACTTGGTCTTCGATTTAGTCAACAACATGGCCACACAGTTCATGATTTGGATCCCACCTTGAGGTGCAATTTCGGGATCTGAAAATAAAATGTACACGTGTACTACATGTCTGTACTGTACACCATGCAACCCTGGGTAATACACTGAGACGTAGGGTGTGGACGTACCCTGCTTGGAAACATACTGTGAAGCTACTCCAACTTCAAAAGAGGCAAATACGGGTGAATGGTCACTTGTCATAATGTCATTGGTGCAGCCTGCAGGTTGAAGAAGATTCATAGGAGTGGGTCTCAGTTACAGTCTGTTCTGAACATGAACTTTTAATCATCAACTTATTATTATGTATTTTATTTACTCTTCAGTTACTAATACATTATCAGTAAAATACATTATAAACAATATAAAATCGCTGCTCATCCGTCTCACCGTAGGCTTGGCAGACAACGTGAACCAGTGGATAGGACTTCCTGAGAACACGGTCGCACCACGAGGGTAAGTTGTATTTTGTCTGTCGGGTTTGGTACACACATATTAAAACAGAACGCCGCAGACAGGAAATCACAGGTTTCAACACTGGTATGACTGAATATTAAAATAGGTTGTAGGAGTATTAGGGTCACAATATGAATAAAAGAAGTTTAAAAAATGACGGTAAAGTTATGAGAAAAGAGGTAACGTTACAAGAAAAAATATGTGAGTCACACATTGTTAACCCTAAGTGCGAAAGAATGACAAATGCGGAGAAGCTTATGCTAACGTCTTATGCTAATATCTTATGCCAATGTCGCCCCTACCGATATTATTGGCCTGTATTATGCTAATATCTTATGCCAATGTCGCGCCTACCGATATTATTGGACTGTATTAGCATAACTGTGTAATATCTGTAGGAATCATTATTGGTTTTAGCTCCGATAATGAAAACCCAATGATGCAACGCCTGGGTTTGACCAAATATGTTGGAATCGCTTTAAAAAATTATAATGTACAGAGTAGAGTGCCTCTAGTGGTGCATCGTAATAAGAGTCGACAATGAGTTATTTCCACGACAGGATATGATACCGTATGTGATATGACCTAAAAATAGTTTGACGAAAAACGTCTCTCTAAATTCGTATTGGTTGATATCGGAATTGGTAATATCGGCATATCGGATATTCGATAGATGACAAACTGTTAATATTGGGCATCCCTAGTTTGTACTAATATAATGACACAATGTTAGGACTTTTCTAAACTATTTTTGTCTTAACGTAACAACTTTTTTCTCATAAACTTTTCTTCTTTTTTCATGTTACGACTTGTCTCGTGACTATTCTCTCCGTACCCTAATGAGCCATGTGACCTGGCATCAAACCTTTGGCCTAGATTCGGCTATGTTCTGTGTTGAATGAGAGCATGACAGGAGGCCAACAGTGAGAAGACATCTGACTAAATATACTGACAGCTCACCCCTGTGGCTTTGGCTTTCGTGTAGGCGTACTTCTCCCTTGTGTCTCTTTCAAAACGATAGGTGGGTGCAAAAGTGATTTCCTCCTCGTCTACGATCAAACACAGAGTTGCAGTTTTAAACAAAAACCGCTGTGCAACAGGTCTTTTGTCTGAAAAGGTGTGGAAAGCGGGTCACGTCTCACCAAAGTGCAAAAAGACCTTCCTGTCCTTTCTCTCTATGTTGAGCTGGTCTTTAATAAGCAGTTCCTGGTACTGCTGCTGTTTGATTTTCGACACAATGTACTCGGCTTCCTGTAAAGGGAAACAGTAACTCGTTTTGCCTAAAAGTGCTTGTGGCTAACAATTCAGATACCTATATACCTCATATAAAAAATAAGTCCATGTTTTTCTCCTTTGTTTCCATACAAACAAGTACAAGTATATTAGATATTTATTATTGTTAATTCATATTTAATGAAATCTTACAAAAAATATCCTGGAAGTCCAAGTATATCTCTCAGTCCTGACTTGCTCTACTCCAAGAACATTTGGTCATAATTCGGTGACTGTAGATTAGAGTGTAGCAGTGCAACTCACCGTAGACGGGAACTCAACACGGTAGTTCAAATCACCGAGCCAGAAGAGGTGGGTGAATCTATTTGTGATGTCAAACGGATTTAACTTCTTGTCTCCCAGGTTCAGAAATCGTAAAATGTTGGTGTAGTTCTGATTACGTCTGCGAAAGGAGCAACAGAATTTAGCTTGCCTCTTTTACGCATGAGAGTTTTTATGATAATAATAATAATAAAGAGAGTGTTATCCGCTACTGACCTGAGTTTCTTTTCACTGCCTGAGGTGAGGTGACTGTTGACGAAGCCAAAAGAGGTACCGTTGAACATGAAGGACACTCCCACTGCTCCCTTGTTTCCTGAATGTAATTTGGTGCAAATGGGGTAAAAGTCTTGTATTAAAAATCTTTCTATCTGTCTATCTATCTATCCATCCGTCTGCCTGTCCGTCCATCCGTCTGTCCATCCACCCATCTATCTAGCTAGCCAGCTAGCTACTAGCTAGCTAGCTAAGTAGCTAGCCAGCTTCCTAACTTCCTAACTTTCAAACCAATTGTAACATTATTTGGCGTTCAGCTTACCCAGTGTGTTGGCAATTCCTGTTTTCACACTGTTAGAACAAACGTGCGATATCCTATTCTCATGCTCAGGCCTGGCAAGGACCACAATTCGAATATTCCACAGAGTGTGAATCGCAACCTGGAAATTACCGGTGAAATCTGTTAGGAACGACAGTCGAGCTTCTCCACACTTGCTTGAACCTCCGTGAGACTTACCTGTTTAAAACTGATATCTGTGAGGTTCCTCAGGGCTCCTTTGATTGTATCTACCCATTCCCTCTCACCTAAGGTGTCCTCCTGAGTCCCAATCACGTAAATATCATGCGGGATGTGGTCGGCGGTATCATCTCGTGTCTTTCCCTGGCCCTTACACTGAAACCAGGAGCTGATGTTGTGGGGAGGGCTGGCATTCCCTGCAGGTTTCATTAGAACAATCCTCATAACTTTGTCTTTGTTAGGGTATCTCATGACCTCATACATTCACGATGTCTCTTACCCATGTTCCAGGTGCCGACAAACACTGAAATCATGTCGGGTTCAGGCTTTTCTGAGTGCTTGTTCTTCATTTGCTGCAGTAGTTGACAAAAACCCTCCCTTTTCTGGTGAAAGACATTCAAATTCATTGGGGACAGAAATAATGAAGAAGAAGAAGAAGAAGACGGAGTAGAAGGCGAAGAAGACGAAGATACTCTTGGCCGTGCGTTGTGTTACCTTTGTGTCGTTGAACACAATGTCTTTCTTTACAGTCTTCTCTTTCTCTGTCTCCAAGGCGATGGCAAGTTTGGTTTGCAGTTTTTGAGATTTCACCAGCTGGAGAACTGGAACGAATCCACAGCAGTCAGTTATTGCTTCTAACCCAATGTAAACAGACTTATAGGCGCTAGCAAAGTACGGCTAATGCTAATACAAACACATAACGTACATGTTGACATTGTTATTGTTTATGAAGGGGTAAAACCAAGCTGGATGTGGCAAGCAGACTTGTGTCTGGAAGGTTGCAGGTTCAAATCCACCAGCCACCAGGTGCCACTGTGGTGCACTGTACATGGCACTGCCCCCTACGTTTCACCAAGGTGAAGGGTTAAAGAGATCAAGTAAAAGAACGTTTACTTTTATTGTGAGCATAGAACTTGTCTTCAGGTCCGTCCTTTGACTTTTTCATGTAGAGTTTCCCAGCTTCCACGTCAACTTTCAGGAACATCTTTGTGGAAATGCCAAGAGACTCTTGTTTTACCTGAAAGTAACACAAACAAAGAAACTTGTCTCTTTTTTTCTTCTTCTTTAGCGGTTAAATGATATTAAAAAATATCGAAAAGCACCTCAAATACAACGACTGGAATGAGAGATTTCCTGTGTCCTCTTTCATGTCCAACAGACTCAAACATGCAACTTTTAGCCTAAAAAGAGCATTAGATAGCATGTGTTAATGTGATAGCAGTCGCTAATGTAACTTATGGACATAGAGTAATACCTTGAGATACAAGCGTCCTGACCTTGAGATACGAGCAAATCTTTGCTTTGAGATACGAGTAAAGATCTGAGATACGAGCACGCTTACAGACGCCGACGCTAGGTGGCATAGCATCTCCCACGAGTCTTCCTTATTATGTTTGCGTTATTTTCTCTCTATTTTGTGCATTATTCTTCATAATAGTGATGAGTCCGAAGAAAGTGAGTGGTAAGGATGGTGGTGAGAAGAAGAAACACATGATGACCATGAAAATAAAGCATGAAATTGTCGATAAATATGAGCATGGTGCCCACATGAGTGATCTAGCACGCAGGTATGATCATGGTACATCCACGATGTGTACCATCCTAAAGCAGAAGGATGCTCTCCCTCCTCCTCCGCACATGCCGCCATTAGCCGCTACTGTATCGTACTATAATTTACCATATACTATCATTTTTTTGTGTGTTTATGTCTCTATAGCAATTAAAAACATGTTTTTTCCATCGTTTTTAGCACTAATATGGGAGTTTTTTAAAGGGCCGGAACGGATTCATTTTTTTTTTCTGTTATTTCTTATGGAAAAACATGATTCGAGATACGAGCATCTCAGGTTACGAGCTCAGTCCTGGAACGGATTATGCTCGTATCTCAAGGTATTACTGTAACTCTTTCAGCATGTCCACCGATTAGCCACATCACACCACCTTATCTTCTATTGAATAGAGCAGCTTTGTCAGTTGTTCGAGTCTGATCGACACAGCTTGACCCGATTCCACTGAAATCTGGAGGGGGAAAAAAAAAGCAAAGTTCTTGTGATGATTAGACCTTTCCTCTGTCCTCGTGAAATAACGCTAAAGGACAGCGAGGCGCTACTTTTGGATATGGGCCAATCCCTGGGGACAGCTGTTGGTCCAATGCTTTATGGAAAGCCTGCAGAGCTGGTAGGACATTGGAAATTTCACTATCGCAGAGAGAAAAACAAAAGTCAAAGAAAAGCTAGCAAAGTGCTTCGGTTTAAGTCGCTCTGTTTGTTTAAACGGTGCATTCACCTGTTCAGGTTCTTGCAGATTGACATTATTAGTTTCCTTAGTCCGGGAAGATTTGGGTTACCGTTCTGTATTTGTTCAACGTCCAAGCAGATTGAGTTACTAAAGTATTCTTGTATCGCCAAATGATGCTCCTCGGGGATTCTGATGAAAACAAGTTCAAGTTTAGGTTCAACCTGTCGGACAGTTTTTTGCTAATCCCCGATGACGTGTTTGTGAGTGTGAATTACGTGGACATGTCCATATGCTGCAGTCTCATCAGGTACATGTCGGAGAGAGATTTGGACAACGTCTCAGAAGACTTGTGGTCGGGTTCTCTGACATCACCGGCTGTGAAGGTTCTGGGTGGAAGCTGTGGTGGAAGATCGGGGCATTCTGGAGAAACACAAAAAAACATTTTTAATGACATCAGTTTTGGCTAATGTTGCCCCTGTTTGGACGGAGAGCAGTGTTTGACCTTGTTCCTCCTCGGCCTCCTCCTCCCTCTGGACTGAGTGCTGCAGGTTGGTGATCAGGCCCATGTTGGGACTGAAATAAGCATCCACCAGCTCCGACAGCGTCATGAAGAACCGGATGGGAACGCCCTCGGATGCCTGGATACAGCAGAGTACAGAAAGGGTACGATTTTACCAAGTTTCTTTGGGGGCAAAATCAAGTTTTAAAGTGACATCAAAGACACATTTTTTAACTCAGTTTACCTTTACTGCATAGGCATCTCATGACGCATCTTTATCTAATCCAAGATCAGCCAGGATTTAGGTTAACAGTTAGCCCTCAGCTCTCAGTGCGAGTTTCCTCCTTTTTTTTGTAAGCGTCTCTTCTCCGGATAAATTAGTTTTTCAGTTCTCATCAGTTACAGTAGTTTTTTTGTAATTTTGCATCGTTATTATTTATATGTCAAATATATATACAGTATATTTGACATATAAATAATAAAGATACAAAATGTATATGTCAAATATATATATATGTATTTATATTTGACATATAAATAATAAAGATACAAAATTACAAAAAATATATATTTTTTTGGTGTTGCCTGGAGCAGGGGTGTCCAATATAAGGCCGCGGACCAAAGCTGGCCCGCTAGGGGGTTCAATCTGGCCCGCTTGAGGAATTTTGTAAGCAAGAAAAATGCACAAAAAATCACTCCATGATAATGATGTTTTGTAAAATTAAATTAAATTAAGTTAAACATGAATATTTTCTAATATACTTCCACTTCTTTGCATGCAAGCTAAGGATCCTTTAAAATACCTTGAATGAGTCAAACTGCGTCTTTGATGTGGTACTGTTTTATTTTGACTGTAACTGCAGACCCAGAAAGTTCCATTACAACAGGCTGTCAGAAGAGGCCTAGCTGTTG